GTATGGGTCCATCTAGTTCATCTTATACACTACAAGTGAGTTTCCACAATGTGGAGTCACAGAGGTACATTTCGGACTCCTTACCTCTTCCGGTTCCCAAATTTGGTCCATTTGATGTTCCTCCCTTGGATTGAGACCGTTTCACTCATGTTTGTCCTCATAGTCATGTGTAGAACCTATTAATCCATGTTTGGGTAAGTATGGGTCCATCTAGTTCATCTTATACACTACAAGTGAGTTTCCACAATGTGGAGGCACAGAGGTACATTTCGGACTCCTTACCTCTTCCGGTTCCCAAATTTGGTCCATTTGATGTTCCTCCCTTGGATTGAGACCGTTTCACTCATGTTTGTCCTCATAGTCATGTGTAGAACCTATTAATCCATGTTTGGGTAAGTATGGGTCCATCTAGTTCATCTTATACACTACAAGTGAGTTTCCACAATGTGGAGTCACAGAGGTACATTTCGGACTCCTTACCTCTTCCGGTTCCCAAATTTGGTCCATTTGATGTTCCTCCCTTGGATTGAGACCGTTTCACTCATGTTTGTCCTCATAGTCATGTGTAGAACCTATTAATCCATGTTTGGGTAAGTATGGGTCCATCTAGTTCATCTTATACACTACAAGTGAGTTTCCACAATGTGGAGTCACAGAGGTACATTTCGGACTCCTTACCTCTTCCGGTTCCCAAATTTGGTCCATTTGATGTTCCTCCCTTGGATTGAGACCGTTTCACTCATGTTTGTCCTCATAGTCATGTGGAGAACCTATTAATCCATGTTTGGGTAAGTATGGGTCCATCTAGTTCATCTTATACACTACAAGTGAGTTTCCACAATGTGGAGTCACAGAGGTACATTTCGGACTCCTTACCTCTTCCGGTTCCCAAATTAGGTCCATTTGATGTTCCTCCCTTGGATTGAGACCGTTTCACTCATGTTTGTCCTCATAGTCATGTGTAGAACCTATTAATCCATGTTTGGGTAAGTATGGGTCCATCTAGTTCATCTTATACACTACAAGTGAGTTTCCACAATGTGGAGTCACAGAGGTACATTTCGGACTCCTTACCTCTTCCGGTTCCCAAATTAGGTCCATTTGATGTTCCTCCCTTGGATTGAGACCGTTTCACTCATGTTTGTCCTCATAGTCATGTGTAGAACCTATTAATCCATGTTTGGGTAAGTATGGGTCCATCTAGTTCATCTTATACACTACAAGTGAGTTTCCACAATGTGGAGTCACAGAGGTACATTTCGGACTCCTTACCTCTTCCGGTTCCCAAATTAGGTCCATTTGATGTTCCTCCCTTGGATTGAGACCGTTTCACTCATGTTTGTCCTCATAGTCATGTGTAGAACCTATTAATCCATGTTTGGGTAAGTATGGGTCCATCTAGTTCATCTTATACACTACAAGTGAGTTTCCACAATGTGGAGTCACAGAGGTACATTTCGGACTCCTTACCTCTTCCGGTTCCCAAATTAGGTCCATTTGATGTTCCTCCCTTGGATTGAGACCGTTTCACTCATGTTTGTCCTCATAGTCATGTGTAGAACCTATTAATCCATGTTTGGGTAAGTATGGGTCCATCTAGTTCATCTTATACACTACAAGTGAGTTTCCACAATGTGGAGTCACAGAGGTACATTTCGGACTCCTTACCTCTTCCGGTTCCCAAATTTGGTCCATTTGATGTTCCTCCCTTGGATTGAGACCGTTTCACTCATGTTTGTCCTCATAGTCATGTGTAGAACCTATTAATCCATGTTTGGGTAAGTATGGGTCCATCTAGTTCATCTTATACACTACAAGTGAGTTTCCACAATGTGGAGTCACAGAGGTACATTTCGGACTCCTTACCTCTTCCGGTTCCCAAATTAGGTCCATTTGATGTTCCTCCCTTGGATTGAGACCGTTTCACTCATGTTTGTCCTCATAGTCATGTGTAGAACCTATTAATCCATGTTTGGGTAAGTATGGGTCCATCTAGTTCATCTTATACACTACAAGTGAGTTTCCACAATGTGGAGTCACAGAGGTACATTTCGGACTCCTTACCTCTTCCGGTTCCCAAATTAGGTCCATTTGATGTTCCTCCCTTGGATTGAGACCGTTTCACTCATGTTTGTCCTCATAGTCATGTGTAGAACCTATTAATCCATGTTTGGGTAAGTATGGGTCCATCTAGTTCATCTTATACACTACAAGTGAGTTTCCACAATGTGGAGTCACAGAGGTACATTTCGGACTCCTTACCTCTTCCGGTTCCCAAATTAGGTCCATTTGATGTTCCTCCCTTGGATTGAGACCGTTTCACTCATGTTTGTCCTCATAGTCATGTGTAGAACCTATTAATCCATGTTTGGGTAAGTATGGGTCCATCTAGTTCATCTTATACACTACAAGTGAGTTTCCACAATGTGGAGTCACAGAGGTACATTTCGGACTCCTTACCTCTTCCGGTTCCCAAATTAGGTCCATTTGATGTTCCTCCCTTGGATTGAGACCGTTTCACTCATGTTTGTCCTCATAGTCATGTGTAGAACCTATTAATCCATGTTTGGGTAAGTATGGGTCCATCTAGTTCATCTTATACACTACAAGTGAGTTTCCACAATGTGGAGTCACAGAGGTACATTTCGGACTCCTTACCTCTTCCGGTTCCCAAATTAGGTCCATTTGATGTTCCTCCCTTGGATTGAGACCGTTTCACTCATGTTTGTCCTCATAGTCATGTGTAGAACCTATTAATCCATGTTTGGGTAAGTATGGGTCCATCTAGTTCATCTTATACACTACAAGTGAGTTTCCACAATGTGGAGTCACAGAGGTACATTTCGGACTCCTTACCTCTTCCGGTTCCCAAATTAGGTCCATTTGATGTTCCTCCCTTGGATTGAGACCGTTTCACTCATGTTTGTCCTCATAGTCATGTGTAGAACCTATTAATCCATGTTTGGGTAAGTATGGGTCCATCTAGTTCATCTTATACACTACAAGTGAGTTTCCACAATGTGGAGTCACAGAGGTACATTTCGGACTCCTTACCTCTTCCGGTTCCCAAATTAGGTCCATTTGATGTTCCTCCCTTGGATTGAGACCGTTTCACTCATGTTTGTCCTCATAGTCATGTGTAGAACCTATTAATCCATGTTTGGGTAAGTATGGGTCCATCTAGTTCATCTTATACACTACAAGTGAGTTTCCACAATGTGGAGTCACAGAGGTACATTTCGGACTCCTTACCTCTTCCGGTTCCCAAATTAGGTCCATTTGATGTTCCTCCCTTGGATTGAGACCGTTTCACTCATGTTTGTCCTCATAGTCATGTGTAGAACCTATTAATCCATGTTTGGGTAAGTATGGGTCCATCTAGTTCATCTTATACACTACAAGTGAGTTTCCACAATGTGGAGTCACAGAGGTACATTTCGGACTCCTTACCTCTTCCGGTTCCCAAATTAGGTCCATTTGATGTTCCTCCCTTGGATTGAGACCGTTTCACTCATGTTTGTCCTCATAGTCATGTGTAGAACCTATTAATCCATGTTTGGGTAAGTATGGGTCCATCTAGTTCATCTTATACACTACAAGTGAGTTTCCACAATGTGGAGTCACAGAGGTACATTTCGGACTCCTTACCTCTTCCGGTTCCCAAATTAGGTCCATTTGATGTTCCTCCCTTGGATTGAGACCGTTTCACTCATGTTTGTCCTCATAGTCATGTGTAGAACCTATTAATCCATGTTTGGGTAAGTATGGGTCCATCTAGTTCATCTTATACACTACAAGTGAGTTTCCACAATGTGGAGTCACAAGGTACATTTCGGACTCCTTACTCCTTACCT